ATAAAAAAAATTACAATTATTTATATTAATTTCCTATAATTTATTATATATTAATATCATTTTTCACATGGTTATTTTTTGTGTATATTTATACTATAATTGGAAGATCTACAATATAATAACTAGTTTAAACTAATAATGTTTAGTATCTCAACAAAACTGAAATAAAAAAATGTAACGTTTTAGCTCTCATGAAATTATTCTTTCTATCAAATCATTGCATATAGGTACTTTAATCTTATACAATAATTTATAATTCCACAGAACTATTTTAATAATATGTGAAAATATGCTTTAATCTGTCAGTAAATTCAGTTTCAATACTTATTAAAGTACTTACACTAGTAAAATATATGCTTACAAGTATACAACTAACATTTATTCATGAGTACATTTCTGATAGCATTCTAATGAATAACAATACTATAAATTTTAATTTAAAATTTAATTAAAAATTTAAACGATTTCGTGTACTATACAGCACGCAATTGTTTAAATTTCTTACGAAGGATCCCTTTTTCGCGCCTCTTCGACACTTCCAACGCCTCTATGCGTTCGTAACGTTCGTTCCGAAACTCATCAGGAAGAAACATCGTCCGGTGTTTTCCGCCGTCGGGCGTATGCGCGCTCGTGAGAAAGGCGAGAAGGGGGATGCGAGTATATAGATACTAGATATGTGTGCTATTGTTGTGCGGCGCGGCCGCTACGTAATCTTTGTGTAGGTGTAGAATATGAGAAGGTTGATGCTGGTTGATGTGAATTGTTGCAGACGCCGCGAGATTTCAGAGTTGGACTTGCCTTCACAAATTTGGCAAGTGGTTATCACTAAAGAGTGATAATCGCGACGGCGAAGAGAGGGAGAGTAGGCAGATTGCGTCTTATGGTCCGCAGGTCGATGGGCATCTCGATTTGACGACGAGGATCCAGGATGCTGAGGTTCCTGTCACGACGGAGGGCGCGTGGCGTCAGCGGTCAAACCGCTTCGTCGCAGATCAAGAATCAGAGATTGCCCAGCAACAAAAATATTGTGCAATGCAGGGTGGTACTGTTGGATGGCACAGATCTACCCATAGAATTATCGGCAAGTTTTTTCTTCTATCTTACTCTTAATTGTTGTCATAGGCTCTTCTAATATTTTTTTTATCTTCACATAATCATCATGAAGATAAAGGAGAAAGCATGAGACTAAAAGGATCTATGTCCATACCTATATCATATCAATCAGACTAAAAACTAGAACATGCTTTTACATACAATGATGCACTAAATGTCATATCATTTAATTGTAACACATTTAATTATAAAATTTCCAGACTTTATAATTAATTG